CTTCACCAACCCTGTCACTGCCCATCACGAATGACACAGCATGGGGAGGCCTTCATCCAGCAGTTGGTTGACAGAGAGATGTAAATTATTGTTATTTTAAGAGACATGATGGCGCGGTGGGTCGACCTCCCCCCCCCCGCCCCATGACCTGTATTTGAACCCACGACCTTCCGACTGAAATTCGGGCGCTTTGCCCCCAAACACCGCCGCGGCCAGCTTTTGACAAAGGGCTCAGTGTGAAACATGGCGATTTCGTTTCATCACGACGTGCAAACACGTTTACACTCCTGTTGCTGCGAGACTCAAAGCCCAGTGGGGTTCAAACAAAAGAGAACTTCAGCTTGTGAGCAGCCAGCGAGCTCTAAGTGAGCAGCCAGTGAGCAGTCTACGAGCAGCCATCTGGCTGTGAGTGAGCAGCGTGTCGCTCGTGCCAATCACCTCCGGCAGCTCCCAGGAATTTTATTTTCGAACTATTCCACAACCCTGGTTTCTTTCCTGTCCGACAGCACGTCAGTCAGCACGCTGCGCCAGCTGTCCATCGTAATTAGCACTTACAGGAAACGCTCAAGGTTTTTGTTGAATGTGTGCGTGTGTGTTTCGGATTGTTCATGACCGATTTTTTTGTCCTCTTTCATTCCTCCTCCTACCATCTTTCTTCTTTCGAGCTGGAGACTAAAGGGCAGCATTTGCTCGTCAAAAGTGAACAAGGGTTTGAGAAGAGAAGAGAAGAGGGGCGAATGAAAGGGTTTTGCTATGAAAACCTTGCCATCAAAAGGTCTTTAGAGGCACGCTGTACACACACAAGTGTTACCCCCCCAACCCTCCTCCGAGCATCGGATCAAGAGTCGCCCTCTCCGGCAAACACTAGTGTGTGATCCTAAGCGTGTACATTTCTGCTCGCTGTTGTTTTTACTGTAGGCCCCGGGACTGCCGGGGTCACGGCGGCAGTGATCGCTGTACAAAATAATAAACCGAGTGGGGGGGGGGGGGGCGGCGTTTGCTCGATACTCGCCCGGACCCTCGCCCGGACGCTCGCCAAATTGGGTTAGGGAGACCGGAGGGAGAACGCAATCCAGACGAACACAATGGGTGCTGCTGTCTGCCTCAACAAAGCAGCTCATCTGGATCAGATAAAGGGTGCTCGCAAAAAGAAAAGAAAAAACCCAGAAATCAGATTTCGCTCCCTTTGGCTCACCTAATGAGGACCAAGAAAGTTCAGTCGGGGCCGATATATGCGTACGGCACAAGCTCCGAGGTGTGGGAATCAATCTTGTGTGTGCGTGAGACTCTCACGCACACTGTCCAGCAAATGGCTGGACAGCAACCGAGTAGGTTGCTGCTTAGCGTGTTATGAATCGTCGCGAGTTCGGGGTTGCGTTCTTGTTTCTGGTTTGATCTTTGTCGAGTTGACCCATTCGTCGAATAGGAACGGTTTGCGTGATCTCCACATGTTGGAAATAACCCCAACTTACAGACAAGGTGCAATGCGTTTTGCCGTGCACATAGGAATCAATTTTAACAGATGCATCGATAAACTATTACGCGCTTTATAACACCAGTGACGGGGGAATTGTTAATAGCTGTTCCCTTGAATATACGCGCATTTCCTGGGTTCCATTGCCTTACTGTTACCTCCTGCCCCCTTATGATACCTGGTATATGCAGTAGGTCTCCCACCCAAGTACGAACCGGGAGCTTTTGACATATGATGGCATATTCAGGGTGCTTTGGTCTTGGATATCACAAAATCTCCTAGATGTGTGCTAAAGTGGAATGGAAGCTGCTTCACAGATGAGAGAAATTCCTATGCAGAGAAGAAGAAGGCCTTCAGCCTGGACTTAAACAGGAGCAGGCAGTCGGCAGCACAGACAACAGGGGGAAAAGGAATTCCGAGACTGGAGGCAGCAGCAGAGAAGGAGTGACCGCCCATTGAGCAGAAGTTGACTGCATAATTCGCAAAAATAAAGTTCTGGTTGTTGGAGTGAGGAAAATACGTGTTGCGTTTAGTCAAAACAATCGGTAGCCACGCACTCCTACCTCCCCCACTGCCCAGCCCCAACAACAACGAATGGAACAATGTCACATGAGCGATGGCGTTTTGGATCCCGTTTTGAGCGCAGAGTGGCGGCGGCCTCTGCTTGTTCAAACACATCTCCCCGAGCGAGAGCTCCATGAGGACAGGGAGGAGGGAGGAGCGGGGTGGAGAAGCGTGAAATCAGAGCACTTAGAAAACCACCGCGATTCGCCGCCCGTGTTTGTCAGCGGCTCCGGCGGAGCCCGACGGACACAACACGCCAGAGGAATTCTTGGTAAACGTTTACGACAAAAGTGGGGCACGCCTTTCAACGACGAGCGTAGCTTCTCCTTTACCAGGTCTCGTGATTAAAAAGGAAACTGTAGACCCAACGGACGAAGACCCAGTTTGGTAAAAACAAACTGCAGATTTTTTTCCCCAAAAACAGAACTCGCATTTATAAAACGCCGACGCTCTCGGGAACGCGTTTCTGAGTGGGTTCTTCTCCGTTACCGTCAACAGTGAGATTTAGATTTCATCGTCGTACAGTTCCCAAGAACCGTCCATTCAAACAAAAAGACGGCGTTGGTTATTTGTAAGTAAAAAAAAAACCCTTAAAAACGCATAATATAGGGTTTTTTGGGATAGATCGCGTAAATATTTACATTTTTTTACTTACAAATAACCGCCGCGATCTAACCCAAAAAAACCGCTATTATGGATGATATTGGTCGCGAAAGCCTACCCGTTAAAAACCGCACCCACACAAAGGGAGCAAAATTCACCCACAACCAACGGCGTTTTTTTGGATCGAGTCTGAAAAACGGTTCCGCTGGCGATGCTGGCCGTTAGCTCCAGAGCGCGGCGAGGCTCGCTGTCAACCGATGGCTTCCGCCCCGCCGCAAAACCCTCGTAGCAACCACCGCTCTCCCGGGGATTCTCCCTCTCTCCCCCATGGGGGGGACAAAGGCATTGGACAGTTGCTTCTCGTTAAAAAAAGGTGGCGGTGAAGTGTGCAGCCGTGAAATTTTATACCGCTCCACTGCGCGTGGGTGGAAGGGCTTCGAGTCAGGGGAGAGCTCTAGAGAGCCGCTCTAGAGAGCCGCTCTAGAGGGTATTTGGTCTACTCTTCCATGCTGGCCAGGCGGTCTTGGAAGAGGTGGGAGTACGTACATTTTACCTCAATGCACACGACCTGCTGATCGACTGGGGAGTATACATTTATACTGTCCGGGGGACAAATGCGGGGGGATTTTAGAAGATTGACCACAGTTTCTCTGCACGCAACCTAACTTATGCACCCAAATTGGCCGCCGTTGTCGATATACGTGCAAAGTTTTGATGACAACGTCAAGCCGATCCCTGCATCTGACGGAACGCGCGTAGTTAATGACCCAGAGACACCTTGAATGACCTCCAGAGTTACGAGCCGATGTCTTCAAGTGCATCAAATGCTCCAACGATGAACAGAACGCGCTTCCAGTGAGCGTTAAAGCCATCGCCCATTCACGCCAGCTATTTCGGTTTGCTCAGCGTTTGTTATTTGTACTCCTTTGGTTCGCACTCTGCATTTCAATGGCCTGCCCCAGGAAACGGAGTAACAAATTAAACAGCGAGGCTCTTTTCGGCCAAGCCTGGCAATTGATTTAAACACTCCTTTCTTCTTATTTTCTCAAACGATGGAGTCACGAGAACTCGTCTTCCGCTAAGCCTTCAGATGCCGTCTCGAGTTTTGCTGTTTGGTCCGACGCGCGTGTGTGCGGCACGGTTAATCGGATTAATTGGATGCAGATTTCACTGCACAGAAATGTAACGCCTGCAGTAAAACTCCTGGAAATGGGTCCAGGCCAAGGAAAGACACAGGGTCCAAAACGGTTACGGAATACTGCTCCCCAATAAACACTGCAGTAAAAACAACATTTACAGCTGATGCCAATGGGAATGGGTGAGCCATGATATTCTGTGATGTGGAAGATTATCTGTACATTGGCTCAAGGCCTTCACCAGGGTTGATGCGTCACTGTAACGTACACGTAAGGACCTCTGTCAATCCACCGCTAGACAAGATCTAAATTTTACCACGCTTAACCACCCGCTCGGCATGGAGGTGGTGAAGGAAGGCACGTAGACGTTGGAGGACAGTACAATACAATGGATATTTGCCGCACTGCTCTCTGCTGCAGCCTGCAACACCTTGCTTTTACGCACGATGGTTGCCCATGCAAGTGTAATGGGTTCCACTGAGTCGCCAAACGTAGACTTGGAGGCAACACATTTATTCAGTTCCAAAACACGGGATAACTTCCCCTTAACAGAATAACAACCTAAGGTGGTGACCACCAGTCTAACTACACTAGTTACAACGTAACTGCTACTAAGGACCGGGACCAACGACTTCGGCCCGGGTCCACGTGTTGGAGACTCGTTGAATGGAGAACGTAGACGAAGGGTTTCTTCCAGGATGAACAACAACCCTGGTCCCTCTCGGGACCCGACTTATATTCTGCGGCGTGGCCGGCTCCGCCCTTGGCCACGACCACCTTCCAGAATCCTCGGGAAGAATCTGGGTCGCAATCACGTGACCACCCCTAGCTCCCTCTTGGGGCCCCTTTGTCAACTTAACAAGTCACGTGTCCTCCCGTGTCAACCAAAGTGCCATGGCCTCACACAACCTCATCCTTCGGTCGGCACCCACACACCCTGTCCTGTAGGGTCGGCACTGCACTTAAAGCGTGGTGCCATCTAGCGCTATTATTCAGCGCACACTGGGCCCCTCTAGGGCCGGTACTGCACCCACAGTCTGTTGACATCCAGCGATGTCACTACACAAGCACCATCCCTACTCAACCCAGCTTTTAGCTTTTGACATCCGATGAGACCGGGGTACGTCCTGAGCGATTTGGTCGCGAAAGCTTCTAATCATCGCACGCCCTATTAAAATACAGTGTACGCCGTCGCCCGGCAATACTGGGGAAAGCTCCTTCACCTGGTAGTAGGCCTTGATGTGACGAACGAGGACACCGAGGTTCTCAATACGAACGTTCACGTCGCCGTTCACGTTCGCGTTCACGCGGTGGTCGTCCGGCCTCGGGTCTCTGTGGCGAAAATGAGGGGGGGGTGGGGGGGCGGGGAAGTGACAACAGGACCGTCGCATTACAGCACTGGCGACACAATCATCCATCCACGCGTATGGCCGATTGTCGAAACACTGCTGGATGAGGGCCTCCCCACACACTCCATACAAAGCACACAGAGGCACACGTAACATGTGCATAGGAATGCATTACACACACGCACAGACGTTTATAAACAGCTGTGCAAATGCAGTTTAGAATTTAAGGGTAATTACGGTATGCGGGCTAGTGGAGGCAGGGAACATAGAAGCATACAAAGTGCTGTACAACAACGGAATTTCCTGCCCTACCACAATCCCCCCCCACCCCACAGGCAAGTTGGTGTGCGCTGCGGTCACCCATCCAAAGACTATCCAGGCTCAAGCCTGCTTAACTCAGCTTTCAAGAGCATGGGGGAGTGGGGTGGATGGGGGCGATTTGAAAATATTTAACCTACCGATAATTACTACTATAATAAGCCAAGAATTTGTGTGTGTCCCGCATGTGACGTCACTCCACGAGGCCCACCCCCCCTCATTAATATTCAAGAGTGGGTGGATTTTTACACGAACGCAGCGGAAGGTCGAGCTGATTTAAATAATTTATTATGCAAAGTCGCTTCAAATATGACGTTTCTTTACAGAAAATGACGGTAAAAAATAAATATACGCAGCACAGTGCTACATCCGTGAATGACGTCACTGCAAAAGAGCCGCCCCCCCCCCCCTTTTATTAATATTCATGCCCGCCTGGAAATTTACACTAACGCACAAGAAGGTCGCGCACTCCACGTACCGCACCCCTCCCCTCATTAATAATCATGAGTGGGTGACGTCACTCCACATGCCGCACCCCTCCACAATAACCATTAACGGGTGACGTCACTCCACATGGGGCAACCCCGCCCCCTCATTAATAATCACAAGCTGAACAACTTTTCTATTGAATATTTCCCATTTACTGCAATATACACCCGTCCTTGGACGGGCACACAAGCTAGTAATAATAATATTCCATAACGCGCATAAAAACGTAACGCTTCTGCTATTGCGGTGAAATGCGTGGAGGCCACCGTCAATTTGGGGAACCGTGAACTCGGCACACAGCTGTGCCGGGCGGCCCCCCTGACCCCACAAGCCACCCCTCTGGGGATGAGGCGTCTGCGGCAACTGTTTAAGTTTCCTGGCGAGCGTAGCGGCCGTTCCCGGTGAGTGGCCGAGACGCTGAATCCCCCCGGGATGATTGCGCCGAGGGGTGCCTGCGTCTCGGTGAGATTTCCTGGCACCGCTATTTGCTGCCAGCACCGTCGCGCTCAGTAATAACCACCACCGCCATCATCATAATCGTAGTCGTCGTCATCATCGACGCCGATCGCGGCGATCGGCGTCGATGACGACGAAAATCAGAATTTGTATTTATACTGGAGAAATCCGATGAGCTATGAAGCTCTTTTTCACAGATGCCCAGTAGGGGCTGGTCAGAAAGTTACAACAACAATACAAAAACTGATATGGGTGCAAAATATGGGAAAGGTAAGCAAGTCACTAATAATAAATACATTTTTAAAACTTAATCGAGTATACAAGTAAAAATTTCAAAAGTTAATAAATTCCTGTCAATTTTTCTACAATAAATGCAAAGTTGGGCAAGGCAGCAAAACAACAATAACAACAGTCCCAGACCACAGCAAGACAACACACGGTAGTCCCTCAATAAAACTGCACATTCAAAATTGCACTTATCGATACACGACGAAGGATCAAGGTTACTTATCACATTTTGACGAGGCACGGCCCAGTCATGTGACGGATTTCTCTTCGTATGTGGTATCATCTGCGCACGAGTCAAACATTTTTTTTTGATAATTTCCTGCTCACGCCATTAACTGGAGGCCGGGGCCTCCGCGAGAGGGAGTTGGAGAGAGCCCCTCCACAGGGAATTTGGGCCGACTCCAAAAGACTGGCCACATATTTTGGAAGAGACATAAGAATTTACGGAAATCTGCAAATTAACACAGAAAAGAGGTGGTAGTAGTCAAAAAAACGCGTCTGTAAATTCCGATTCTGAAATGCGTGCCATGAGCGCGGACAGCGTATGTGAAATATTGATTCTTGAATCGTATCGCGACCCTATATCATGAAAATAATCAATTCTTACATGCACTATTCAACGCACGAATAGCAAGGGTTCATTTTATTATTATTGTGCTCGTTTACCCAGGAAAACCTGATGCCAAGACTTTTCCAGCAGGAGCCTGCCAAATGTTTGCAGGAGGGGGCGATGCTGATGTGTGTGATCCCAATTTAGTAATTTGCAGGTAATTTTTCAGCATTGGGATGTTTGGCAAATGCTAGTTACATTGTATCTTTGGTTGTTTCTTTGGATATGGGAAAAGACCATGAGAACCCAGAGGAAACCCATGCAGAACAAGGGGAGAACATATACAGTGGTGCCCAAGTCAGGAATCAAACCCAGGATCTTATTACTGGGATGCACAATTGTTTCTACTGCGCTGCCACCCTGCCACCCCAATTTCAAAGCATGAATCGACGAGTCGTTACGCCCCTCGTGCCCGCATACTGGGCATCGTGACTGCGGGCCACCCAGGAAATAGAGGCACATGGAACTTAACGGCAGGATGGGGGAGGGAAGGAAGGCAGTGCGTGCTTGTGCCATCCCCGATTAGCCACCGCCAACTCCGCGTGCGCTCCCCGATACGCAATCTTGTACATCTACTTTTTCCCTCGCCGCCGTCATCACCGCCACACCTCCACCCGGGCAGGAAGCCCTGCTCGTGGCGGGTGCCGGTGGCAGCGACCGGCTTGGTAATTCAGCCCAGGGTCTCCACAATCGCCGGGGGTAACACCCGCACAGCATCGTGGCGGCCGTGGCAGTCGCTAACAGTCGCAATAAAGTTAATAAAATTGGTAGGGGTGGATTGCAAGCGAGCGTTTAGAATTTCGCTCGCAAAGGTTTTGCTTAAAGAGGGAGCGATGTTAGCAACGGAAATTAATCTCAAATCGCAATCTCTTTTGCACGTACGTCGAGAGGCATACAGTGCGTGCACACTTTACGTGATAATCTAATGGGAAAGCATTTCTAGAATTAAGATGAATTAGCAACCACAAATGGCTGAGCCGGATGATGCGGTCAATTGAAAAGGTCGATTAATATCAGTCTGGTCGAATGCGTGTAATCCTACACCCTTCCTCGCACAGAATGTGGCACAGTGCATGCAGTGGTGGAGAAGAGGAGGCGAAGGAGGCTCAACACTTTCTGGGGCACTCAAATTCTTCGTGAAAATTAATAATATATACGTAAACTACAAAACTATTTGAACTATTCACAATTTTTTCTATTTACCAGGTCAGGCCCACTGAGCTATACAGCTCTTTTTCAGAAGCTACCTACCCACAAATGATAACTAAACTCAGTTGCTTATCATCACATGGAAATGTATGGCAGCCAAATACTCTAAAACCATTTTTCGAAATATGGAAGGAATAACCAGAAGGCCCGGAGAAAAATCCACGCAGCCAGGGGGAAAGAGAGATGTGAAAATTCCAAATGTACAGCAGGCGTCAGGGTCGGGATCAAAACCTCGACCTCCTGCAAACCAGGCGAGGTAGTTAACATCTCGCCACTGTGGCACCACATAACCAAGTGGAAAAAAAAGGAAAGGTCAGCTGGGGCACACAGAGCTCGTATTTATTCCACTCCGCTCCACACCAAGACTTCCCTCTGTGGTTGCCACTCAGCGTTTACTTTTCCACACCGGCCAGAAATAGAGGTAGGAAGTAAGACGTGCACCAACACTTTACCTCACTGCCTGCAAGCAATCCAACAATCTAATGTAATATTATATATTTATAGAGCGCCTTCACTCAAGGCGCTTGGCATAGTTTGACAGACGGTGGCAGAAAATAATCATTTAGATGGCAGCGGAGTGCGAGGATTGAGGAATGAGTGACAGCGATAGAGGGGTGCTTCGGGGGATCACGAAAGGGTAGGGGAGGAACGGGAAGGAGTGGAGGGGCGAGGGGAGGGAAGAGAATGGGCAATAGAGAAGATGTGAGGCTTTAAGAGAAGAATGGAAGGCGGTTAAGGAGGGGGACTGCTTTACGTGCAGGTGACTTGCATGCAGTGGACTTGCAGCAGCATTCGCATTTTTTAAATCTGTGGATACACGTGTACGTAAAGTAGGGGGCGTGACGATCCAACTCTGACCCTCCCCCACCACCCCCAATCACGAAAAACTCTGATTCGTCGAAATTCAACCGTGGCGATTCTATTCCAGAATCTATTCTTTACTTAACACTGCAGTGGACGTGCGGTCGGCTCCATTGTAGCTTCGGGGGGTCACGAGAGCCTATTGTGTGCAACGTACGTCAACACGCACTGACTCTTTCACACACGATTCGATGCATAAATAACGGGATGAAACAATTATATTCACCGACGAATGTATCATCATCAGTGGCGTAGGGGTGGTTGGTATGGACTCTGGTGCGGGGAATGATGACATGGGGCCTCTTGTCTCTTATCAACTACCGTGACAGGGAATTGAACACGGCTCCTCGGAAGCGCGGAGCTGCGTCAACGTTAACTAGCAAACGCGGTGCCGCTTAAACCTCGGCATTTGAGAGCAGCAACAGCACCACACTTTCTCTACGCTCAGGAGAGACGACAGCCCCATCCTTGCATCACGTGTCTACGGCAGTGCAGCAACCGCAAGACAGGCGGCACTGTACGCACGCACTCCATTACACGCCCCAGCAGACATCAGTCCCTGCACAGAGCCAAGCCGGGCTCTCCACAAAACAAACCGCACAAATTGGGCATGAGATGGCGGGGGGTGGCAGTGGCTGTGGTGCTGCCGCCCCGTACAGATATCGCTCGAGTCGGGGACGCGGCACCTCCAACGCGCGACGCACTTGTAGCGAGCGAGATGCCTCTCCGATAATCCGAAGTGACGCATCCTT